ACGTATACCATCACCAGGGAGAATCATCCCATCTCCATGACCAGACACCATGGGCGTTCGCTGTCTAGCGCTCGCGCCGAGCTGAGGCCATCAGGGAGGCCCCCTCAGCCCCCCCCCCCCCCCCAGTAGCCCGGGCCCGTTTCCGGCGGCCTGCTCCGAGCAAGGTCATCAGACACCAAGTCCGACCATGCACATAGTAAACACCCAGGATAGATCATCATCAGGGGGCGGAGGGCGCGAGCAAGTCTCGAGGCGTCCGTTAGGACCACTGTGGGTCGAGCTGGTATAGAGGGATGAATTCGGGTGGCTAGCAATGGGCTATGGAATATGGAGCATGGAGTCATGATGACTGAGTTTGGGGATTGGTTTATATGGGAGGCGTTGAAGATGCAATGAAAGCGATAGCGTTACTGCGGTATGAAATATCAAACCCGATGTTTTGCAGATATTGGATAGTTGTTGAAAGCGTTCCCGATAAATCAGGCACACGCTTTTACTGAGAACGTGCTCACACCTACTGGAATCGGACCCGAGGCAACCTACACCACCTGTATAGAGTTGCGCCAGCTCACTTCTGACGATAATCTGCCCATCTCGAGTCTCTCAGCACCTCTGAATGCTAACCGAACAAAGTTCCCCACCGTCTGGAGCGGACATCCGGCTCCCCAATCCACCCATTCATATATTCGGAGCCCTACCCGCACGCGACCTGCGATGATGCAAGACTCGGTGTGGCACCCACGGAACTGATGACGGAGCCTGTTGCGTCAGACCAATTTAGGCCCGCGGCCCCAGAGGAGGTGGGCCAGCCGCTTCGGCACGCGCTCAGACTACAAACTGCTTCAGGGTGCAGATGAGAGACACGATGCGTCGTGAGTCGCCGGCACGAATCAGCGACAGATGTCATATGAAGAACCCCAGGCGTTCTCGCGCGAGGACCGTGGATGATCCCGCACGAGAATCGTGGACGGTTTCGCACGAAGTTGATGCCGTTAATGGGTACGTGGTGGTTTTACAAGGACCATGTCTGTCTGGCTCGAAGAGGATCCCAGCGATAGGGACTACTGTGGAGGATATCCTGATGAGAACACCGATTGCATAATCCTGAGGTTGCCGTCGTGTCTGTCTCCCAGCTTTGTTTTAGGTTATGCTTGTTGTTAGGCTATGGTTTGTTTAGTGTAACGCTGTAGTAGCGGTGCTAACTGCTAAGCAGTTCGCGCGACCAGCGGGCACATTGCTCAAGAACGGCCTCATCAAAAGAGCTTCGGTGATCTCGTTCTGCACACAGACAACTTCACAAAACATAGGAGCTGACTGCCCTACAAACGTGACTCAGAAGTCCATTCACAATAAGCCATTGTAACATTACCATCACATGCAGTAGTACTTCGAACTCATTTCCATGAGACCAGGGACCTCTAATTCATTCCAACCCGACCGACTCCACATACGGCGGTATTTTTTAATCTGACTATCGCTTCTGCCTATATCTGTAAGCGGTGCCTTCTGAGCGAGCCGCACCTTTCTCTGGGGACGACATCCCGTCAGAGAGAAACCCCGTATCTATATCGCCCGGTATCTGTCTGTGTGTGGCCGTCGCGTCCCTTTTGGCACACTCTCTGCATATGTATCCATAAGGGAGACGCTACGTGCCCATACGTGAGACTCTCCGTGTCAATACAGGCGCCACCGCGACCCGTTACCATTACCACACGCGCCCGATCGCTGCAACTCCCATAGGGAACTGATCACAGTGTCGGTGCCTCTCTATCTGCCGGAGAGATCATGACAGAGCCACCGGCGCGACTGCACGAGTGCAACATCGACGAGACTTCTCGGAAAGAAACAGCAGGGCGCGGCAAAACGACACGTGATGAATCACTACCTATTGGGAGGATCGTGTTATGGAGGTTTACTGCAGGTTCGGTGATCGCAGTAAATGTATTATTTTCGGGGTGCGAGGCTGACGTGATTGCCAATGCGCTAATGACAACATTTCGCCACCTAATAATAGTGTTTAGCCTGAGTAACGACACTATTATCTCGTGTTTATGAAGTGCTATAACGTTTACCAATACGACGCCATCTATCATCGCCCGTTTAACGACAGCATTGTTACGACATTTACGTCTGGACGATGTATGCCGTATTTTCCTATCTGGCGACGTACGTCGGGTTTGGATGATGCAGATCGCCTCAGCAAAAGTCTGTCGATTGATATCGCCCTGTATTCTGCATCTGTGAGTGGCCCATATATGGACGATTTTGGATATAGCTCGTCATATATGGACAACTGGCGCCGAGCGGGCGGCTGATCTCATGAAAAAACGTCCGAGCATTGAACTATGTCACGTATACGCGGTCGGGAGGTCATGGGTTATGACGGAGAGAGAGGGTGGGAGAGAGGGAGAGATGCGTGGAGGGAGAAAGAGAGAGGGTAGAGGAAGAGAGAGAAAGATGAAGATTGGAAATGGTGCAGGAGAGACGAAGAGAAAGAGAGAGAGAGAGAGAGAGAGAGAGAGAGAGAGAGAGAGAGAGAGAGAGAGAGAGAGAGAGACAGAGACAGAGACAGAGACAGAGACAGAGACAGAGACAGAGACAGAGACAGAGACAGAGACAGAGACAGAGACAGAGACAGAGACAGAGACAGAGACAGACAGATAGACAGACAGACAGAGGAAGAAGGGTCGGAAAGAATGATCAGAATATTTGACTGAGCTTGGCGGAAACTGTTGATTAATAAATTAGTAAATACATTTAATAAAACTTTATTGAATTACAGTTGATTACAAGGAACCATAGGTTTTCTTAGAAGCCCATTTTATTTATATCTAACCACGTCAACGTTCCAGTTTGTTTGCATGGATGCAAAGCCAGTAAATTGATACTGATACCGGTCTCCTAGCTTACAGCGGGCTTCCCTCCGCATGACATAAAACACACAACCCTGTGGTCTTCACTAAGTCTCACAAATGAAGCAGCTTATCCAACGGAGGGGCGTGTCTCCGCAGCCAATGTGTATTGTAGTCGCGACGGCGGGCAAATTTCCGGTCAAACCACCCCACTTTGTGGTGGGTTAATGAACGGAAATGAGAGCGCCCCGTCAGGCTGTCACCGGCTAGGAGTCGGTAATTTGTAAACATGTCACTGCTGTGGTCAGTTGCACTGTTGCGATGGTGAGCATTTGCCGTAAGAAAAGGCTCTGTGAATTGTCATTACCCGTTGCCAATCTGATAGTTGATTAGCACCACTCCCTTCTTCTCTCAAGTTTTAGTTTGGTTATGTTCAATAAGCAAAAAAGTCGTACAATATTAGTCGTAACACGCCGGAACGAATACTGTTTATTTTTTTTTCGCTGGTAGGAGTAAAGGATTATGGAGGAGTCGTGTAACGAAGTTACGAGATCGTAATTAGGAAACAAATGCAAACGATTGTTGACGATTTTCCTTTTTTCTTTTGTTTGTCGTAACTTTGCGTTGGCTTGTCTTGGATCACCGATTGGCTACTTATTGTTTTTTTTATAATTAAAGGTAGACTGCCACCTTTTTTCCACAAAACGGTTTTCACTAGAGCTGAGCCACCTATGTCCCAGACTGAAGTCGGTTTTCCGAAATTCGAACCCGTTTGCGAGAAATCGGAGACCAAAGTTCAGTTTGATGCCATTTTTTTAGTCCAAGAAAACCGACATCTCTACTGTTTATCGATAACTTTGAAACATGAATTTTCTTATCTTTTGGTAAATATATGTCAAAACTTTGATTGTTTCGAGATCAGAGAAGAATTTTGGAGAGTCAAAATAAAAGTTAAACTTATATATTCAGTAGTTCATTTTTTCCAAAAAGTGTGGGAAATGGGGTTTAACATGGGCCAGACCCATTCCAAATGAGCCATGATTTTTAAATGTTTTACGAACTTAAATGCAAAATAAATTAAACATGGCCAATTTCTTATGAAATCATATATTAGTAAATCATAAAATACCTTACTTTTTCAAATAAAATGTAATAATCTTATGACCTTGAAGTCTAGTGATGTGTAAACATTGTAGCTAGACATTAACCGATTGATAATTGTATGATAATCGACAATTTTTTTCGCGATTCACGTGATGATACTTTGTCAGGTGAATTCTAAAATTTTGTTTTGTCCAGGGAATAAATCATAGGCCGATCTGAGAAAACTTTTTGAAGGTGGCAGTCTTCCTTGGCAAAACCGTTTACCTAACGACAAAGATGACGACATAATTCAGTGATGTCTTTTCAAAGCTATAGATTAATAATATCAGCTTCGGGAACGCTATGTTGTAGGTGAAGTCAATGAAATAAATGGATTAACGACGACCAGTGGCAATGGCAATGGGTGCGATTCCCCGAAAACCAATATAAAATGAAATTGGAACACTAGAACTTACGTGACGTCTATTGACCAAATATTTGACGTAAAACAAAAACGGTGACGTATTGCCGTCATGATCTTTGACGAGCTTTCAAACAATGCATGCCTTTTCTCACTTCATAGTTTATGAGCTCGGTTACAAGTCTGCGTTCTAGCAGCACTGATCAGGGCAGTAGAAACTAGCTTTCCCAGTGCCCCCATATACATATACAAAACAAAATGTTCTCTATATACAATTGCCTTATGCCTACTAATGCCTTATGCCTAATTGCCTTGCCTACAATTGTCTTATGTCGTGACATGCCAATTTGACGGCATTGAAACCACGCTTTTCTATAGACACCAGTCACTACGCTCATGCACGTTATTGTCAGCCAGATAAACTATGGGTCTGTTCCAGTCGCACTTCCTAACACCTCTAAACTCCTCCAAGAGCAAGATAGAGAAGGTTGGAGCAGGGCCCTCCTTGGCTTTGTAGGGGTTAGAGCAGCCACTGGAACAGAGAAGCAATCTTGGAGGAGTTTAGAGATGTTAGGAAATGCGACTGGAACAAACCCTATATGAACTTTACCACCCCTCATGGTCAATATATCTGAAACTCTTACCTTTACTTTATGACGTTTTCTCAATTGCTGCTATTAGCCTTTACTTCAGCCAGCGTTTCCTGTAGATGACCGGTTGGCAGCAAAGCAGTCAGCCTTACCGCTCCGGAGCGGTGTATTGAACGGTTTCTGCTCAAGTCTTATACCACGTCCAGAGTCTGAAAAGCACTAGTCCAAGCTACACCTCGGTGAGCCTGCTTCGTGAGGTGGAATTTGAACTCACTAAACACTGGCGAGCGAACCACCTAATCAAGTCTCGAGAGCTCCACACAGGCTTGAAACGCGCCGCCCGTCCGCAGCGCCGCGCCGCGTCCTCACGGCGACTCGGCCGCCGCTCGACTGACTCGCTCGCCTGACTCGAGTCGCCGAGTCAAGACGTCAGAGTCATGGCACGCCCTGTGAGTCCCGCCCGCCGTCTGTCACGCGAGTCAGGCACCGATGACCTCGACTCCGACTCTGCAGCCGAGTGCAGTAGAACGAGTCCGCTGCAGCCAATTCAGGACTCGAATCGTTCGTCGACGTCCACCGTCCAAAGCCCACCGCTCACTGTCTGTTATTCGATTGAACCTCTATCGCCTGTAGTTGTCCGCCGAATGATGTTGATCGCTCGCCGTCAACTAGATCCACATTCGTCGTTCGTCGTCTTCCACAAAGCGTCCACCGTCTTCCACCTTCCACCCTCTTCCACCGTCCGTCGTTCGCCGTCGCTCGCTGTCGCAGCCTCCGCCGCCGACCACCGCTCGCCGACTCCGTCCGCCACGGCCGCTCTCCACAGCCCAACTGACCAGCCCAGTCCAGCACGGCGGCACGGCGGAACGGCGGACTACGGCCCAGCACGTCTCCGGTGGCGCAGGCACGACCGAGCCGGGGTGTGCGGACCGCTCCCCCGGCAGCCGGGGTAGGGTGCAAGGTGGGGTGCTTCCCCCTGACCACCGCTCCCCGGCCCCGCCCTGCCATGGATGTAGGTAGGTATGCCACTGGGGTTGGAAGGGAATTGTTGATGGTTAGACGACTGATTCTGTCCGATATTATGATTTTCTGTTTGCATTACAGGGCGGCTGCTTGTCTCTGTGTCTGTCTTTCTATATCTATGTCTGTCTAGTGTCTACCTGTCTCGCTGGCTCTGTCTTCATGTCTCTCTGTATTCTGTATGTCTGTATGTGGTGTCTGTCTGTCTGTCTGTCGGTCTGTTCGTCTCTCTGTCTTTCTGTCTGCCAATTAGTCTATCCGTCTGTCTGTTTATCTGTTTGTCTGTCTGTCTGTCTGTCTGTCTGTCTGTCTGTCTGCCAATTAGCTTGTTGATATTGTTTTATGTATTACTGTAGCTCGCAAATTCACGTATGACCAGGTCAATGTCACTGACCCTTCGTCAACTTTAACCCTCGCCGGCACAGGCCATTTTGCGGCCTTCGACGACACAAGTTGGTAAGCCCCCCCCCCCGCGTTTGGCCCCTGATCGAGCTAGAGCTTCGCGAAAAAAAAACGAGCGTGTTGCCCGTCACGAGAGGAAGCCAATGATACCCAAGTTTAAGGTCCTAGGTCATCGGTTGACCTGCCAGGTCAGGTCAACGACCCACAAGTCTGGAAGATCGGGACCTGTTAAAAGGTCGGGAATGTGTGGATGCTATGGGTTTTTTTCGGAGTGCTGATCACGAATATCGTGCATGTGAGTTTTGATCATAGATGATGTCTTCGAGCATTAGGGCCAGGTCGGGTCAGGTCAGGTCAGGTCAACCAGTAGGGGATTGTGACGGGTTTTCGTAGTACGTGTCAACCGCCTATGACAGCTTTGTAACATGTTACAAAGGCACCAAAACGACTTCGTAAATGTTCAAATGGTTGCTAAATTCGAACTCAGCTCCAAAAACTAGCCTAGAAACATGTAAAAATCAAAAAAGTGAACCGAGGTCACCAAAGGTCAATGACCTGACCTGACCTTCAGGTGACCTTGACATCCACCCTAATGCATGGGAGCAACATCAAATCACATATTTGAACGTTTGAAACCACGAAAAGCTTGCATTGCGCGGCTAATGCGAGCCAACATACGCCGAATCGCGATTCAGGCCAAACATGGTCTCGGAAAGTTGGTCACAGGTCAGAGGTCATTTGGGTCAGGGTCATTAAATTTCAGGGTAGGTGTAAAATTGATCAATGCGAGGGTACTGAAAGTTTCGTCACGATCGGCCGCTTTTTACGCGAGCTATTTACGAAAAAAAACTTAGAGGGGGGTTGCATCAACCCCCTGTGCCGGCGAGGGTTAACATCTTTTTTGTTACGAATCAGAGCATGTTTAGAGTTCAATTACAACTCTCATTTTTTAGAAATGCTTTTTTTACGTCGCAATACACGAGACGGAGCTCCCTGTAATGGCAGTCTATTATGAGGTTCGTTCATCATATCGTGCGTAGTACTTAGCCTCCCTCCCCCCACCACCCCTAATAAAGTTTTAATTGAAACAATTTGAGCCCCTATTGACCGAGAATGCACCAGGGGCGGATCCAGAAAATCTCCAAGGGAGGGGCCATTAGAAACCAGGAGGCCCCCCCATAATCCCACCTGTTGGAGGCCCCATCTTCCCACTTGTTGGGCCCCCCCCCCAAAAAAACTGCGTCTATTGAGCTTATCTAGCTGTTCAGGCAACATCTCAACATCTGTGCAGGCTTGGAGGCCCTCTGTGCAGGTTAGGAGGCCCTGTAAAAGTGGTCATCTCTGTGAGTATAAGAGACCTCCAAGTTATGAAAAGCTTTACCAATCTTCTAACAAAGAAGTCTTCTCAGCTAGTCTTCTAAGAAATAACTAAGTGGGTAGGTTAAAAAAAAAAACTCATCGGATTTCGGCCACTTTATTTTCAGGAGGCCCCCTTTTCAGCTTTTTAACTTTTTAACTTTTTATTTTATTTTTGAAAATAATCGGCCAAGGGGGGGGGCCATGGCCCCCATGCCCCCCCCCCTTGTATCCGCGCCTGGAATGCACTCATGGGGGCAAGCTGGGCCAGCACGGACGCATACCAGACTTCCCTGCGACAGACTGATCCGCATCTGATCCAAACAGATTCGTTGAGGCATTTTGACCCCAGCTGATACGGAGAGCTTCATTGTTGTGACGACTTGAACCCTAATTGACTCAAATGGACATATAACTGTGCCAAACTCATTCCTAACTGTTCTCCATAATTTTTCAGTGTTCTGACGTGCATCAGACCCGACAGTCAGAATTCAGTGCGGTATTCTTCTTTTCTTTTGTTTTTCTTTTCTTTTTTGACTGACCAAGACACACAAATGTTATCTGCTTTAATAATTATCAAGCTGTATTTTGTGACAGGTTGGCCCCAGTTGACACGGACGGACTTTGCCAGAGTAGTTCAGTTGACCTGTAACTAAACCAGAGTTCCTTATGACAATTTCAGGCCCCAACAGACTCAGGCAGAGTTTGTCGAGTCATTTTTACCCCTAACTGATACGACATACATCATTGCGACAGATTGACCCGCAACTGACCCAGACTGCCTGGTTTTCTGCTCCGCTAACACCGATCTTCTAACCCGTCTCCGATTTCACTCGCGAATGAATCAGCCGTGTGTGCGTCAACCGACATAAGAGTACAGCGCTTTACGTTTATTTTTGCTAGTTCCAGACCCGTTCTCTTGGGACCAAACGTAAACAGAGTGCTGGTTTCGGCGAGCACTGGTCACTAAGGTGTGTATGTACCCCCGCCGAAGCCTCCGTTTCGTATACGGAGGAAGACGCCACAGGAAGTGGCCATCTGCCCGCAGAGCGACTCTGTTTGGTGATTTCAGAAGCGGCCACCACCTCCTCTGGGAACTGGGCAGATAGTGAACCAAAACAGACCCTCCGCCGCTGGTCGGCCCGCAGATACCGAGAATTGGCCCTGTGTGGCGGAGATGAAAACGGGACGGAAGACAACGCGGCGACATGATGTGTCTGATCGAAGTGGTCTGGAAGGACGCTGGGATACATATCCACAGGAAGTTGCAATCGGTTCCAGCGCTGCACCGCCACCCGCGGCGGGCTCCTTTGATCCGGTGTCAAGTGTGTCATCGGGGTGTCACCGGGGTGTGTCACCGTGTCACCCGGTGTGTCACAGCAGAGCAGCAGCACACTGCGACGCGGCGACAGCTCAGGGGAGTGGTCGACAGTGCCATCAACACACAGTGACATCGATGATGGGACGCAGAAACTCGGGCTCTCTGGTCGCTCAGGGGTCGGCCACTGCAGGTTTCACCGGCGACGCTAATGCATGGGTCGGCTTACGGAGCCAGGCGTGTGTTTACTATAAATGTTTAGCCTATAAAGTGAGGGGAAATACAATGAGGTAACTGCAGGGCGCTGAGAGATGTCATTGATAGAAGGGGAGTGGGGTACGATTGACAGAAGATGTGTGCAAAAGTGGCAATAGCCGTTTTCACGACGGCCATCTGGTACACATTTGGTGCAGATTAGGTGCAAATTTCGTCAAATTAGGCTCAGTGTGTTCTTAGTAGCTGTCAGCTAGGGTTGCACTAATTGCTTATATGCCTGCTTTGTCATATTATCAGATAGTATCATCGAATAAAACACTAAAATAAATTCATAAAATAAAGATATTTGCTGTAAAGGAGATTAGGAGAGATTTGGTCAAACTAGGTGCACTCGCCGGATAGCCCGTCGTGAAAACGGCTAATATGTACTAAAGTCCTTACAAGCAACAGTTCATTGCCAATTTTACAGAAGATCTTTGAATTGATCGTAATCGAGATATGGGATAATATTTTGTTCATAAGGTAAATAATGTGCATGTGTTGGTACTTGGCGCAAAATGTTACCAATTTTGAAGGCGTGATGAAAAAAAGGATTTGAGGCAGGCAATTGCCAGGCAGAGTGAATCGTAGAACATGGGTTGTACATTTGCAACAGGCAATACATCGTGTTTCCAATGAATCGCTCGAACAAAGAAAGGCTGCATCGCCGCTGAACAAGATGCCAGGTGGTCCAAAACAGCTTGCACTGCTAATTTAGTGTCATATTTACGATCGGGTTTCCAAAAGCTATGTTCAGTTGCAGCAAAAACAGCTATCGCAAAAATCGAAATACTTGTATGTGTTAGCACTACCCTGGGCGGCGGTAAAATTTATTGACAGAGCCGTTAGGCATTTGTTTACTTTTATTCTGACTTTGCTCACCTGTTCCCATCCTAAATCTCGTATGCTGCATTCCAGGCATCCGTCTATATTTTCAAGTAGTACTTGAGGTTGCACAGCAGAGTTTTACGATGAAAGTCATGAGAAAAGGCATCACTTGCAACACGGCCAAATTTTTTATATCTTTTATCTGGGAGACGGTTTATGATGTTGATATATTTATGACAAAGATGGTACAAAAAGTCCCTTTGTTGTAAAGTTAGTTACCATACCCTATAACCTAAATTAGTCAATCAAATAATTTTTAAAATGTTCGATGCATGCCGAACAACCACGCTGTTAACTAAATGTTAGCACCGTATGAAAAAAACAAATACAGAAGGCTTGAAGCATTGCCTAAACACTTATTTATGTATAATGCCTACTCGTGCAAATATGGGCGTAATATCAAGTATTTTTCAGGTTAGTAAAAAACCGTTGCAAACCAAAGCTAAATAAAGAATCATCATTAGGGGGGACGTGAAAAACTTTTCTTCCAAATTGACATACACTTTTAAGGATTTACGTATCCGACAAGAAATATAAATTTATTGGCTTTAAATATCAATTCACTCATCAGTATTATGATAGTACCTATTGCTGTATTAAAAGTTGACATCCGTTTGAC